TCTGATTTTAAATTGAAATAAAGATAATTTACACCTGTTGCTTCATAATTTAAAAAAAAATCAAAACACAACTTCAACCGGTGCTTAGTTCTGATTGTGCTCTCCTTATAGGCTTAGTGAATATTTTTTTATATCACACATACCAGGAAATACTATTTAAAGGAAATCAAGAAGCACAGCATAGTAGAAGAGACTGTACTACACTCTCTGCATTGATATCAATATCTCATTGCTTTTGATGAAGGGAACTGGGCATTTGACTAATTCTTATTTTGTCCTTTGATTAGAACAACCATGCTGTTTTACTTACACAAATTCTTTGCATCTTATCAATAAATTCCAGGGATGAAGAATTCATGAACTCAATACGATCTCCCATGGAGCTAAGGAGGGGGCCACCACCTCCTCCTGGGATGAGGCAGCATCCTGACGCACGTTCCCCTCCGCTCCCACCCTTCAGAGATGGCCGTTCTCCACCTCCCCGCATGCCCCCCCCTGGCATGCTGGACGGCAGATCGCCGCCCCCTTACGATAGACGGCCACCCCCACCACCCCACATGCTGGACAGACGCAGCCCACCGTTCCGCCTGCCGCCCCCTGATATGCTGCCACCGCCACCAATGAGAGGTGGACCACTCCCTCCTCCTCACTTCAACCGTGGCTCCCCCTCTTCAGGAACAGATTCTCCCCATTTAGACAGGCCAGGTAAGGGGCTATGTCTTAACCAACCAGCCAAGTTATATTTTGCACAAAAAAGTTTTGATAGGCTAACCATAAGTAGCTCAAACACAAGTTACATGGTTTCAGGTGTATGTTGTATGTGTTTTCAGGTATATGTTGTATGTGTTTTCAGGTATATGTTGTATGTGGTTTCAGGTGTATGTTGTGCATTTCTGAAATTTTGATAAAGTCTGTTATCAGTATATATTATTAATAGTTTTTATGGTTAATTATCATAATGTAATAAAATTCTACAATTTCAAAGTTCAAGTAAATGAACTTTTAAATTGTAGACAAACAAGTGGCTGATTTCAAGAAAGCAAGAGAAAAAAAAGCATGACAATTGAACCTGCTATTTATTTTCATGTTATATTTCTCTCTTCCCCCTCCTTCAATTAACAGATGGGCGTTATCCCCCGCCATATGCCAGAAACCCACCCTTTCCATCCGACAGACCATCACCTCGTGGTGGAGCACCGCCTAGACAACAACAAAGTCAAGTTTAGCCAAAAACCAATTGTATTCCATGTTATTTGTTGATTTATTCATTATTCTTTTTCGCACTTACTCCATTTCTGCAGTGTTTGAACTCTCCTTTAGCTTTTCTGTCTTGGCCAGTTATGTAGAATCACAGGACTCTCAAACATTGAAATCCACATATTTATTAAAGCAAAAACAAGGCAGTGTGTGTATCTTAAACTTTCTTCAAACCCAGAGCCATTGAAAGAAATTAAGATTTTAGTGCATAAAGCACAACTGTCAAAATTTGAGATAGTGGTAAAATTTGCTCTGCAAATATTTTAGATTGTGATAACACTTAGCACTGAAATATTTGAGTTTGTGGAAACAATTTGCTCTTCAAATATTTGAGATGATGCTAAAAGTTTGTACTGCAAAAATGTGAATTCTGCTATTATCCTAGGGCTGATGATAGTAATAGTTCAAAACAGTGATCTCTATTAGCATGATTTTTTTTAAAAACTTGTTGCTTTGAAAAATTTGTAATATTTTTTTTTTTACTTTCCTTCCAAAGGTCGAGTGAAAATTTCATTTAACGTATGATGAGTAAACCACTTTAATGATAATAGGTATTTTTTGGATAAATTTAAAGATGTCTGAACATTTTGTAAGGTGCAATAATGTATTCTCTGCCAACATGTTTTGAATTTGACCACACTGTTGTTTTAATTGAAATTATCAGTTGTGCTGAGATTTTTTCCAGAAAGAAAATGCTCATGATCATTTATCATTAAGTCTTCAAGGTTTATGAGAAGAAAAAAATTCTTTAAAAAAAATTCTTTTTACAGTGATGGTGAGTTAATGCATTGTATTTTGTTTTTCTTCCTGTATGTGACCTAAGAGAATTGCTGTATATATTCCTTTTCTGTTTGGCATGAATGGTTGTAGAAGATGATTAGGATTTGATTAGGCTTTAATCAGTTGGGCAGGTTAATATTTCAGCCACTGTGAAGCTTACAACATACAGCAAAATTGGACAACTATTTGCAATTGCATACAGGTGGTGGTGAACATTTTAAAGATGTCTTTGAAATAATTTGTCTGTTTTGAGTAAGGAATATCAATTTTTTAAAACTTTCTTGTAAATAAAAGAGAGAAAATAACACCTGAAAACCTATGTGGAATTAATTGAACTTGAGAAAACAAAACTCTAATTTTTTATTTATTGAAAAATAAATGTATATAATTTTAGTCCAATATTAGAGCCACTTTATGTTAAGAGATTCAATTCTTTTATATTTTTTTTCTTCAAATCATCGTTCAATTATTTGAGCTGCATGATTTTAAACCATGCTGCAGTTGATAGATGTTAACACTGTGGTTTAGTTTTTTTTTTTTTTTAGAAGCTGGTTGTGGTTTGTTCTTTTACTTTTAAGAGCCTAAATTGTATTTCTTGAGATGTAAGCATGTTGTTTAATTTATATAAATATATATTTTTAAAATGATGTGCACATTATGTAGATTTGTTTCTTGATGTGTATATTTTGTTTGTTCATGATGAGTATAAAGAATATTTTTTTTCTTCAAATCATCGTTCAATTATTTGAGCTGCATGATTTTAAACCATGCTGCAGTTGATAGATGTTAACACTGTGGTTTAGTTTTTTTTTTTTTTAGAAGCTGGTTGTGGTTTGTTCTTTTACTTTTAAGAGCCTAAATTGTATTTCTTGAGATGTAAGCATGTTGTTTAATTTATATAAATATATATTTCTAAAATGATGTGCACATTATGTAGATTTGTTTCTTGATGTGTATATTTTGTTTGCTCATGATGAGTATAAAGCCATTTGTTAAATGACAAGATGTAATACTAGTCATTGAGAATAAGTTTATTATCATAGGATGTGATGCTTCAAACTTGAAATTTCACCATTTTTTTTTTTTTACTCTTGTTGATATGTTCAATTTATATAATGCATAAGTTATGCTTGTTAACTTTTAGAGAGAAAATTGTCGTATTAAATTTAGCAATAACCATATTAAGTTCTTTGAAATAAAATTAATGAACTAAAGGCATTATGTGATATATTAAATGAAACTTGAACATGGTAACTAATATTGAGTATTTCGAACATAACCAAGAAGTTTGAAGTATTAAAAAGCTTTCCTTTGCCTTAGCGTGAATGTGCCTGCATAAGATAATTGAATGTTGTTACATGGTAACCCTTTGGGGTATCATTTTTCAATGAACTAGTTCAATAAACCATAAACTTATAGTATTGTAGAGGATTTGTCCAAAGAGCCATCCAAATTCCTTCATATTAATTTAGCCAGGTTATGTTTGCTCATAACAAGTACATACTATTTCCACTATTTCCTAAAGTTCTTTATAGACCTCAGTTTTTATTAGCTATGAAAAGAGTTCATCAGACTAGTCTTTGTTTTGCACAGACAAATTCATCTTGACAAGGTGTGCCAAGCACTTTTTTTTATTAGGGACAATTTTTTTTTATGGTAAAGACTCAACAGATGAGCTGAAACTCTCTTATTAAATCAGTTTTCTTAAATATTCTCTGACAATTACTGATCAAATTTCGTTTCTTCCACCATCCTATTAAAAGAAATAAATGAAATAGTGAAATAGTTTTATTAATTCTTTTCTCGTAACTGAAACTTTAGGGAGATCTCAGGAATGAACATTAAATTTTATTTTATGTGTAGAGAAAGCTAAAAAATTAAATATATTTTAATATGAGATTGAGATACACATTGTGTATTAGTTATGATTGGAATTCAACTGTGCAGGATGAACAATCAATTTTTATCATATGTATAACATAAGATCACTCTTATTTGTAATGTTCAATTATTGAATAAAGATGTTCCAAATATCTTTTAATTCAATAATTATAAGTATCTAGTGGCTAACAATAATCATCCTTGCTATGATGATTGCAACCCATTCCTTTTTGGCAGTCAATTGCTGTTGTTGACTTGATGTCTGTGGCAGCAGTGATTCTTGTGTACAAATTTTGTTTGGAATTTTGCCAAAATTTATAGATATTATTTATTTATAAATGTTAAAAGTAAAATGACAGAATTGAAAAAAAAAAAGAATGAAGTTTCATTTGTATGCTAGAGTATTTTTGAAAGTTACATTTACCCTTATAAAAAAAATAACGTCTTAGCATTGTAATAGTAATGGCTTTGTAAATGTTAGTGAGAGAGAAGGGTGAAAGAAGACAGATGGAAATAAATAAAAGTCTTGGTCAATTTTATCTGTTGTGACTTGTGGACTGCTTCCTATTGGACTACTTTCTAATCAGCGAATTTGGTTTTGAGAGTATATTACAAATAATTATTAATGTTTAAAAGCAAGTTTGGTTCAATAATGAGTTTAATAGCGCGCAAAATATAATTCCCAATAACTATGCTAAATTTAAGTATGGTGTAACAAATATTCGGTTTAAAATTGGTTGGGATATCAGAATAATTAACATGAATTAAAAAGTGTGCAGTGACGTATCATGGAGGGAAGGGGCATAGCGAAAATTGGGATTCTTAAATGTGCGTTACTTGAGTTTGTGTTTTGTCAAGTAACTTTAGTAGATGGGAAGTTCACGCATTGCTGTCGCCAATGTTTGGCGGGCTATATCTAGTATATACATATTTATTTTATTTTAGCATATATTGACAATTTATAATACACATTTTCAATTGATAATACACAATTGTAAAAATAATTGATGAAAATAAAACTTATTTATAATCATTAATACAGTCCTCAACAACCCCACCATGTATCATTCACAACTTTATTCTGGTGGAATTAATAAATAGAAAATAGAAATCTAAGCTCTAATAACTGGATAAATATATGTTTCGTTTTCATTGATGGCTTTTGCAGTTTTGATTTGTTTACATCAGGGTGTGATCAACAGTGTTTTGATCGCGTTTGATAAAATAACCATTTGTAATGTTTACATAATAAAATAAATTTGACTTGCAAACAGAACCAAGATGGCAGAGATATTTATTTTCCAGGCATGAAACAAAATTGTTTTTCAAAGCGATACAAAATTCAGATTTCAAATCACAACTTCACATAAAGAACTTTTAAAAAATAGGTTAACTTAAATGATGGCAATGCTGGTTTAAAACTCAAACCCACGCTTCAGTACTATCAGCTGGCCATTTCCTGCATCTGTGTAGACATCCAAAAGTAATGTGAATTTAGACTGGACCAGTTTTACTGATGAATGATTTATTGCAGTGACTTCCTCTTGGTTTAGGTCAAACTTGGCAGCGTGAAGCAGGCCAAGGTCTGAGTCATGTATGCCACTGATAAGCTCTTTGCACTCGGTGATACAGCTTTCAGCACAGAGTCCTATAGGTTTAATGGTGTTGAGTGTTATTGGCTCATTAAGAATGTGCCACTTGAAAACTACTGCACACTTTGGCCTAGATCTGTTTCCTGGTAGAGGTAAAAATAGACTTGGTTCGTGCACAGGGTCAAACTCAGAAAGATAATGGTAAATAATGGGTGTTATTACATAAGATGATTGAATATGGTAAAAGCCGGAAACAATGTTTAAAAAATGTATAAGTTGGTATGAGAATGCAAAGAAATGATTCATCCCAAGTGCAAAATGATTCCAGACAAACACTAGAAAATCTTAATAAGTGAAGGAATAATAAAATAACAAAATTCTTAACTTTATTCCTCAGAATCAGATAATTATTTTATCTTATTAGATTTTATTTTAATATGCATCTTTAATGCAATTGCAAAAGCACTCCGGTAGCAATACTTATGCCAGGCCTACAATCCAAACTAATTTATTTAACACACCACTGAACTGGTTCAATAAACTCTTTCTCCTGCTTGTTCATAAATTTTTAAAAGATAAATTAACAATTTCAAACTGATTAATCAAAATTTGGACACCATTTATTTTAAAAAAAACTTAATCTGTTTTGTAAAATCACAATAATTTTGAATGGGATCGTTCATTCATACCTGTTTTTTGTTTTGACCAAAGCTGAGAAATGCAATCACGATCAATAGAACCCAGCTCATTTTTTTCACTCTCTTCATCTTCTGACTCCGTAATGAGAGAATGCTCCCTAAATAAAATTTTGATTATGGCAATGAAAATAGTCATTTTACAAGTATAATTTCATCCATTTAATAGATTTTCTAGCATTGGATGCCTCACAATACCTATATCTAAAATTAATTAATATTTTTTAATGTTATTCTTTTAACATCCGTTTGCAAAAACAAAATACCACATTTTTACGCATTTAAGACACACTCATATATAAGACACACTCATATATAAGACGCAGGTTTTGACGATTTGTGTAAAAAATATTTTACATAACACACACCCATATATAAGACGGGGTTTTTGGCGATTTGTGCAAACAAAAATTACATAAGACGTACGCAGCCTAGCCATCTGCCACACAGCAATTTATATCCGCAGCCTAGCCAACTGAGCAATTTATATCCAGTGGTTTCCTTTCCTTGATCATAAATGAAAATTTGTCCAAATGTTTCATCACCCGTTGGATGTAAACAAGGCTTCATTACCATTTTAGTTTACCGGTAGATCAAAGAATTGTCTGAGGCAGGACCGCAAATATTATTGTTTATTCTTATCTGCCGCTGGGCCACCAGCGGATGGGTTGAGTACTTGGACTCTAGGTTGAGAAACAATAAACGCTAGATGTAAAGGCGGCTTCATTGATATACAAAACGTTGAAACGAAAGGATTTTAAATTTGAAGTGGCCTGCATTGGATTGGTAGACGTGGTTTTTACTGAACACTTACCCAATTGTTTTTACAAGTAGAAATGAAAATCCAGAAACGTGAATATCGCCCGCAAATAATCGTCCTTCAATATCACACACTGTAATGTTTGCTTGTGTTGATAAATACTTACCATATTTTTGCACATATAAGACACACCTAATTATAAGATGCACCCATATATAAGACGCTGGTTTTGAAGATTTATGTAAAAATATTTAAATAAGACACACCCATATATATATAAGATGCACCCTGGGTGCGGGGAAAGTAAAACTTTGTACAAGATGTGTCATTAATGCGAACATACGGTATACATAAATAATGTGAATAGTTTATCACAGACTTTTTTTGTTTGTTGAGATCAACGTAATTCAGGGACAGGAAAGCGGCCTCCACAACAAGCTGATGGCATTGTCTCCAGTTCATTCTGTTAAATTTCTGCAGCAGCTGGCCACTTTCTGTGATCTTATTTAAAAAAAGTAATTGACATTGCATTACCTAAAAGAACAAATTAACTAATTTAAAATGTTAACACTAATTAAAAGTTTTCTTAAGATTTGAATTTAAAGTTATAAATTTATCCGATAGTTCATTCTCTTTGGAAGTTTTAATGTTATTGAATCTACTCATGGGATTGGTTTCAGAAAATGCAATGATGTAAGGGGGAAGCATGGTGATATATGCCAAGAACTTACCACAATATGGATCTGCAACTACTACATTTAATTTTAAAATCCAAATGTCCCCTTCTTTTTTTAGTGTTTTTTATACATTTTAGCTATTTGAAAAAGCTACTGCAAATTACCTGGTCTCGATACTTCGGTACAGCTTTTATGAAAGCTTCCATGGTACATGGTAGGGGAGGGTATGTGAAGAAGCCACCCTCCATATAAAGATTAACAAATTCATCTTTTCTATATTCTGTAAATGCATTCCTTACTACTGTATCCAGGGGTTTGGGCAGTTGATCATAATCTGAAGGCCTCACAGTGTATATCTAGAATTAATTGAGAAATTCCTCTGGTTAAATATACATTTGAGTCTCTGGCAACATTGTTTATCCACTAAACAACAATGGATGAGAGCAGGCTATCCAAAGGCAATATTCTTGTTTATAAAGTGAAAGTGCAAAGATAAACTTACCCTAGAGTTACTGGTAGTAGTTAGCCAGGTGTATCTTTGTTGCCTAGAGGATTGGAGTGTTGACAACCCATGATTAGTCAGCATATGCCTACACAACAGATGTTGACCTGGACTTATGTTGAAGAAACATTCACTCTGAAATATTTAAATTATGATAGGTATTTTTGAAATAATAGAATCAAGGCAAGTCAACAGTTTACTTGCTTTTTGTTTCATTATTTTTCAAATATTTTTTTTCTTCAATTGTCTGATTGATATATAAAATATAATGGAAAAGTTAGAAAGTCTATTAACAAAAATATATGGTGCTAATTTTATTGAGTATGCCTATTCTTTAAAAACATAGAAATATTAAACATATGAAATCAAAATTTTAAAATAATCATTTAATTAAAGTTCTATTTATTTCATAAGTATTTTAGTTACTTATAAGATAAGATAAGATAATATTCTTTTATTGATCCAAATAAATGAAAATGTTTTTTGATTGCATTATACAATTTCAGCTCAAAAATAAAACAATTTGAACACAAGACATTTATAATAAATTATTTCAAACAGCCCTTCAGTGAGTGCTCTTAGCAAAATCAGGGACTTATTATTTTTCATTCAGATGTGTGACTTCAGAGGAAGCACGCCGGTAAATTCGTACAGATTGGGGAACAAAATAATTTTTAAATCGGTCAGTCCTGATGGAAATATTTCGTCCCGAACGGCCCGATCCTAAGTATGTTACAGCATAACAGTTTTAACTATTATTTTTTTTTAAAAATCAAAAGACTTACAAAAAAAGCTAATACCTGATACCCCTCATAAATGAGTACAACAGTTGGTGCATGAAGTGATTTGTCCTTTAAATGTATCCATCGGCGATGATAGAAACCCCCACTATCCTTTTGATGATATTTTATATCTAGGATTAGAGAATGAGAAATAAAGATAAAATAAATATTTATAAACCAAGCACATGAAATTGTTATCAAGAATTTTGAAGGGGGGTAAAATACCAGTTGAGGTTTAAAAAAAGTGAAGGTTGCTTGAGGGTTGGCATGGGCTTGAATCACATACATATGTTACTGTTTATTCAGAATGGTGAGAGCAACTTGCAATAGTCACTAAACGTTTTATTTTGATAACTTTTAAATCATAGTCAGTCTGTTTATACTATGTATGTATATATATTTCATTTTGTTTACATTATATATACAACTTCATTTAGAATTAATTTCAGTCTGTTTATACTATATATATAAATTCCTTTACAATTAATTTCAGGCTCTTAATTAACTTAATACTATATTTATATAACTGCATTTAGAATTAAAGGCTGTTTATAAAGGTCATAATCCACTTCTACAAACTGAATGTGACTTAATTTAGAAATAAGTTAACTGAACTAAATAATCACCTTTCCTTGGTTCACGCTCTATCCTTCCCACAAATGTAACACAACCTGCAACATCAACTATTGCAAAGTCGGGAACAGAACTGAGAAGCAAGACGTGATTTTAAATTACAGCTTTCATCTAAATGGATAACTATTAAGACTGCTAAAATTTTACAGGTTGAATTATCTGATAAGCTCATGGCATTTTAATTCTAAACAAGGTTGTTGTTTTTTTTTTACTCCAACTTACATCAAATCTCTGCGTGTAATTAAACAGCACTCCAGATCAGGCATTTTCAACCTCTCAACATCAGCATCTGAAATGTTATGGATTACTCTGACAACACTGGTTTGATTCAAGCATATCTCTGAGTCAAAGACCACATTTCCTTGGGGTGGGGTCTGGAAGTACTGAGATTTTTTTTGAAAACTTTCCTTGATTTTGAAATGCTTAATCATGAGTAAGCTGCCCTCCTGAAAGCTGCAAATAAAATGTCTAGCTTTAGCATAAATTAATGCTGTCATATTAAAAAAATTATAAGTGGTATGTATTATTTTTGGAGTAATAAATTAATTTTGATTATTGTTTCAGTCAAGAAAATGATATATAAAAAACTTATTCTTTAAAAATAAATGTTTAAATTACTTTTTTTTTTAAAACTAAAAACCATGAATATCTACCCACTTGTTGAAAAGTTCCACCGCAAGTTTGTTCCACAAAACGGCAGTGCACCATCCAGTGTGGTCAGCAACAACAAGGGGAAGCTAAAAATAATATGCAAGGGGCAGTCAAAGAGTTAATTGCCGCGCTTCAAATGTCTAAAATAGTCAAGATCAAATTTTTTTAAAAGCATAACTAACATTATTCAAATTCAATAACTTTTCATTTAGAATTTATGCCACATGCAAAATTTATTTTTAACTATATGTTACAAAATGTAAAAGACATCTCAAGTTATCATCCTGCCACCTTAACCTTATGGGTTATAACCTAGAATTTCTATCTATGACATGTTTCTAAATTTGGTTTTAAAAATAGAGCGCACCTTGACCTTTCATATGAACAACCCAAAAAAAATATTCACAGCTTGAAAGTTGAATCATATTTTTAAAGATTCATAATTCTAGAATATATGACCCCATTTTCTCTGGATAATAATAATCCTTTGCCTTTGTGATAATTTCTACCGGTTATTTTAAAAACTCATCACAATTCCTAACTTTAAAAAGAAGTATCTATTTTATGATATTTACATTTCTAACATCATTAAGTTTTAAAAAGTATTTATCTGCTATATATTATACGCCTACCCTAGTCCCTTTCACACCCCTAAATTACTTTTTTCCCCCTCTAAACATGACCTTAAATTACCCAAACTAAATTATCAGTAATTATATCACTTTTGTCACTAAAAAAGTTAATTGAAGGACGATTTCTATGCTAGAGAAATACTTTGGATTACCCCTTTTCGTCCCTTTGAACTAAAACTTTTTTTCTCTAAAAATTGTTAAAAAACATAATCTTAAATTTAAAACAAAAACTCTATACATGATATAAATATATTTTATATTAAAGGAATTTGATATATTGATATCTTCCTCAAAAATTTAAACACACTTGCTTTGTTTTTTTAATTATACATTATCAGAAAATCGTCAAATAAAGAATTCTTTATCTAAAGGCTTGAGTGTCTTTTTTTAAAAAATGTTGTATGTTAATCTCATAAAAATACACACCCACTTTACTTTTCGCAAATTAAAAACAGAAATATATTTTCATTTTTTGAAAGAAAGTATTAACCCATCTCCATTTTTCAAAATTAAATTTTCAAGCGAGTAAAATGATTGGGTTTTGATATTCATGGGTATACTTATATAAATGTATCCACGTTTTGTTAACGCCATTGATTTTCTTAATTGGTAAACATATGTTTATTTGTAAAAAGAGATTTTAACATCTCTTTTTTCACAAATGTAATACCATAGGATTTAAATATAGTGTCATCCGTGTAAAAATATACACATCCTATTTCCTACCTCCGATATGTATGTACCCAAGAAGGTTAATTATTTATCAAATTTGTTCCTTTATTTTGAGACGTATCTTGTGCTGCCTGGGGCAAAATGAAAATACCAATATTTGCAAAAAGAGAATGTAACATGTCTTTTTTCACAAATGTAATAAACTTATAGGATTTAAATAAATTGTCATCCATGTAAAATGTACACATCCTATTTTCTACCTCCGATATGTTTGTACCCAAGAAGATTAATTATTTATCAAATTCATTCCTGTATTTTGAGACATATCTTGAGCTGCCTGGGACAAAATGACTCCCCCCCCCCTCCCACGTTTAAATAAAACTAATATAATCTTCCACGAGATTATAGTCCCTTCCATACCCAAAATAACATTTTGCACTTCATATGGTTTGTTCTTATAAGTGGATCAGTGTATGCTATTTGGATATGGAGCTTTACTGCACTGATTGACTTTAACTGCATTTTCTTATACGAAGTATATTTAAAGGTTACGTTTTTATTACGTAATAAATTTAATAAAAGTAAGAACGTATTTAAATCTTTTCAGTTCTTTGGCGTTAGGGTCAGCCTAGCTCATTCTATGTAAGAATGAGCTAGGCTGACCCTAACGCCAAAGAACTGAAAAGATATATATATAATATTGTCTTAAAGTTTAGATTTTAGGATTAACAAACGTAAAAGTAATTTGACATAGCTTTTGTATTGCACTTAAAATCCTGTGTCTCTCTTTCTGAGAGCCCCTGCTCNTTTTTTTAAAAAGTTTTTTTTTTTTAAAAAAAAAAAAAAATATAAAAATGGAGGTTTAAATAAATATTAAAAAAAAAAAAAAAAAAAAAAAAAAAAAAAACATTCATATTGCATTTGACTATTTAACTAGTTATAAAATTGAAATAGCTTGATAAAAATAATTACATAAATTATCTATATCAACAGATCTGGTCGATGTTTATTTTTCTCAGCAAAACAACAACAAAAAAAGTGTAAAAAGTGGTTTTAAAAAAAGAAGAAAACCTGGAAAGGCCATTCGTCATCATAGAATGGAGAGAAAAAATGGATGACATTAGATTTTCTCATGACTTTTACAATTAACAATTGATCTTTTGATCTGGGAGCTTTTTTATTGACCACATCTTGAAGTGAATGGACCTTAGTCAAGTCAATTTCTCGCATGCAGATGGGCAGAACTGAAAGAAAAGCAAGACCAAGCATTGGTAAAATCAGAAAGGCAGTGAATGACAATTAAAGAGACGTTGAAATGAACAGATAAATTTCATTATTTAAAAAAGAGAAGAATTTTAAGTTTAAAATACCTTTATGTGAAATATTATTTATAAATGTAATCTAAAAGTATGATTAATTTAATTTTTATAAAGAAATGGATGCAATATTCTTAATAAAATAATAAATCATAGCTGGCTTTGTTTGGATGACTAGTGATGTGACTGTGTAAATTAAGTGATTTAAAAAAAAAGAAAAAAGTTCAATGAAAATATATTTAGCATATTCAAAATGTCAATATTTTTGGAACAAAGATAGTTAGAAAACTTAAATGTAAAAAATAACTGTACTGAAGAAAAAATGGTGACATACTAACTTGCTTCTGTTTAATTTATGAAGAATTTCTTTTTTGACATTACCCTCATCAACTTTGAGCTTGTCAAAATTCAAAGCAAATGTCCAGTTATTAACGTAGTAATCTCTGTCAGATGCCAGGGGTAGATTCTTTTCTTGTCTTGAAAAATGTGATGGAATCCATGGCAGTTTCTTCAAATCTGTCACCAATCAGTGCAACAGAAGTATTAAAAATTAAAAATAAGTGTTAAAATGTAACTTTCACCCACCTTAAGCACTAAACAATGAAATAAACAATACAAACAATACCCTCACTTTGACACAAATATTAAATCTTTCAATTTGACAATTGATCCATTTGACACAAAAAGTAATTTAAACATAAGCCAATAACTACTTTGCGTTAAAGTTTAAAGCCATTCTGGCAATGCAAATTTAATTCTTAATACTAAGAATTTTCAATATGCAACAAAATAAACAATGTTATAATTTTAATCATTCATATTTTTATGTATGAAATTATATTTTAGAATGGAATTTTCTGGGTTAGTCTTTCTTAAACCCTTTTTTGTTCTCATCATGAATTCCGAACTCACTTCAAATTTGGGGGGTGGGGGGAGGGGGTGTTTTACAAATAACACTCTGAAAGTTTCTGATCAGGCAGTAATGCTAATTGAACTATTCTGAAAAGGCTCCCATGGAAAAAAATACTAAAAAGCTGGGTAAGCAACAAGAAATTGTAAAAAGTTTAATTGTTAACAAAAAGAAAAAGGTGTGTATCTGTGTGTTGAGGAAAAAGGATAGCAGGGAGGGATTACCATGTTAATGAGAGTTACCCTACCTGTAATATCATACAACTCTCCATTTACCACTTCAAGCTCTTCTATTACAGTCTGACAATAGGCACTTGCCTTGTATGGATATTTTGAATATTTATTAATTTTTATAACTGAGCCAGGATGCAACTGAAAATCCAAACCAAAATAAGGCTCACAAAAAAATATTTAAAATAAGAATTCATGGGATTAAAACAAATTTAATAAATATAAACAAAGCTTACTCATTAAAAAAGCAAGCAATGATTTGTAGTTATCAAGAGAAACAAAAAAAAACAAAAACAAAAAAAACCTATTATCAGTGATTCTCACCCTGAATACAAAAATTTAAAAATCACAGTTGCATATTTTTATCCTAAATTTTGGTTCATTGAGTTCAAGTAAAATGTAAACATTGTTTGCAGTCTTATTTTAAAATATTTCGTACTTCATAATCACATATGACATATGTAAATTTGTTACATCTCTTTAGCACAATATAAATTAAAGAATATTTTCTGAACAAATTCCATTTTTCAAAAATATAGCAGAGGGCAATTTTAATTTTTTTTTAAGAGCCTCGAGTAAATTGTACCAGGCTACCGGTAGTCAAGCTTACATTTTGCAATCTACAAGGGGATCAACAAGCAGGACTGCCAATTTTCTGTAAATTTATGGACAGTCTGGAAATATGTGACCTAAAATGACATGTCCGAAAGGGATATCCATAAATGACATCACATGTCTGGTTTCACAAAGTTTTAGACAAAAAGGAAAAAGTTTCTAATTTGTGTTACATCTTTGTGATGATTGTGAAATCATGTGTGGATGCCCCCCTCCCCCCACTAGAATTACATTATAAAAGGAAACATTGCACACGATTTTTTGAAGCAACTGATATATCAAATTTTTAAATTATATCTTACTTGCTTGAAACTTATAGGATCATAATCAGGAGAAAATCAACACTAATGGGAATGGTATATTATAAAATAACGTTATATAATGGGCTCAAGCTTGGGTCATACAGAAAAAATCCTATTAAAATAGGCAAATGGATATTTCAAAATTATTTTTTTAGCTTTGCCATTTATTTTTAAAGTGTGTCCCTACAATATTTTGCTTGCTTGTTAAAAATGTGCAGATTTAGAATATTTGTCAAGAAATTTTTTTTTTTTTTTTGAGTTGACAACCCTGCCAGCAAGGCAAAGTAAAGAAAGGCTAAATAATAATTAATTTTATATGATAATAAAATTTAAAAATTAGTCAAATTAGGTGCTTTTGTGAAATTTTCAAAATATCTCTAAAAATATAAATGCAATACATTTAAATAGAGCTGACTGAGAGTTTTACAAAAATACCAATAAGTGGTAAAAAAGTTATGAATTTTTTGGTTGGGACCTCAATACACATTTTTTAACATTGTGACTCATTTTCAGCTCATCATTTTCACCCATATTTCTTGCATATTTCTCAATATAAAAAATGTTATTTTTTTTCAGCATTTGTTAATAATAGTATAAATTAATGGAAGAAAGTGGAAAACATGCTTCAGAATATCATTTTCTCATTAACATAATTATTTTAAACATAAGATCTTATTCCTCCTACTTAAAATTGTAAAATTTAAAAAATGCAAAATTTGGAGAAAACAAGCAATTATTTGTAATTAGAGAAGAAAAAAAAATGACAAGATCAGTGATTCTCACACCGATAAAATCAAAAACTCAACCCTAAATACGAGAATTTCTTTTTAGAACCCGATATTGTTTTCTGTGGACCTACCCCTAGACGTCCATTCGCCACACCAATTTAATGAATTATTAACTACCCCATGGCCTCTATCGATAATATGTAGGCCTAAAATGTCAACAAGCATGGACCTAAAATGTTTTTTTGTTTTGTTTTTAACCCCCTTTTTTACAGTGTACACTCATGAATATTGAATGTTACAGATGACTTAATATATTAAAGACTTTTTTTAAACCATTGAGCAGTTTAAAAAAAAAAAGCTATTGAACAGTCACGTTAACCTATTTTTAACTTCAATTTTCAAATCTAGAACCTTTACAAAAAAAAATTCAAATAAATTATCACTTGAACAATCAGCATGTTGACTTTAAATGAGCAGATCTAGAATATATTATTAAACCATTTATCAATGATACCCTTGGTAAATTAAAAAGTGGACATTATCATTTTGACACCACAATCAATTAAGTGAAAAGCCTAGTCAAGTATGTCCAAGAAATGTAGTAGAAATTATGATACCTCTTTTTTAAATCTCTCATCAGCTGTTAATACAAAAGTTTTCTTATAACGTTTATCTGTAATAGTCACATCAAATGCATCCCAAAAATAACAGTGATCCAAGCCATACTTTCTTCTGTATTGTTTTCCTGGATAGTATCTCATGATCTCTAGTACCTGCAATCATAATAATAGTGGAGAGTATATATTTCTTTAAATTTATTTTTAAACCATCTGCATTATGTATATATTTACTACTATACGTAATATAGGCCTAGGCCAATTCAAATTCAGCTAATTTGTAATTGATTATCATTATTTTGAATTGAAATTTTGTATCATATTTAAATAAATAGAAATATCAATAAATTATCAGTCCAATATATTAATAATTTTAATAATTAATACTAGGGTTTAATCGGGTGAAGTTTTTTTTACACGGGGTACGGTATTTTGAGAAAATACCTCCAGGCATTTTTAGAAAATAACTGGTACTGGTAGGTCCAAGTGTTACAAAAAAAGGGTAACTTCTTATTTTCTATAATATATGCTGGCCTATAAACAATAGTCCTACAGGCGGTCCTATGCCTTACCTGTCGGTTTTTAAACTATAGGTTTACAGACAGTCCTACACCCTACCTGCCAGCCTTTAAACAATAGGCCTAAAGTCAGTTCCTATAAACTACATGCCATTTCCTGCCTTTAGACAACAGCCCTACAGAAAGTGATTGTCTCACACATACCCCATAGCTTACAGACAGTAACAGTCCCATACATAGCCCATAGCCTACAGACAGTCCTACACCATAACCTGTGGCTCTTTATTGATTAATATAATAGTCAACTCAGAAGATATTTAACCTTTTTTTTCTCCACTCAGTACTATAAAACATGTTGAGTAGGGGGAGGACCAGTTGTGAACTGGAAGCAGCCACACCAGAAGCAAAATGTATATATAAGACAAGAGATTATATCAATAAAATAAAATATTTATATATAATATTACATATTATATTAATATCTCTAATATATATATTACTATGACGCTTCAGGTGTGACTTGTGGACTGCTTCCATTTATAACTGCTTCCTAATCAGCGAATTTGGTATTGAGAGTGTATTACAAATAATTCTAAATGTTTGATAGAAGGAAAGTATGGTTCAACAAAAAGTTCCAACGCGCGTAAAATATAATTCCCGATAACTACGCTAAATAATATTTTTTACAAATATTATTATTATTATTAGTGGTTTTATATAGCGTGGTACATTGCTCAACGGATGTGAAACATAGACAGTCTACCTGCATCACGCCAAGAAACTGAACCATTTTCAAACAACCTGCCTCAGGGAACTCCTCGGCATCAGGTGGCAAGTCAAAGTTCCTGACATAGAGCAAACCTACCTAGTATCTTCACCACCCTGATGCAGTCTCAACAACATTGGATGGCACACGTAGCCCATATAGAAGACCATCGGCTCCCAAAACAATTTTCTTCAGAGAACTCACGATAAGCAAGCCAAGGAGGTAAAAAAAAAAGCACTACAAAGACTCACTGAAAGCTGCACTAAAGGCCTTCAGCATCAACCCCACTACATGGGTGCAGATATCCCAGGACAGAAGGCTATGTATGATGGTCGGTATATTGCGGATGTGTAATGGAAGAGAATTCCATTGTTTGGGGGCACAGAAAGAGAAAAATCGTTCACCATATGTTTTTGAGTGAGTAAAATTTTCTTTTCGGAAAATGAACTTGTGTCAATTTAAGTATGGTGTCAAAAATATTTTGTTTCAAAGTGGTTGGGACATCAGAATATTTAATAGTAAGGCAGGGCATTAAGCACCATGAGGTAATAGGCACCAGTCACAGGGGGGGCCCTGAGGATTAACTCTGTAACTATACTTAAATAGCATGGGGCAAAAAGCAAACCAGCCTTATTTAGTTTAAACCTATCAGAAGACGGCTTTCAACCCAATGTTAATTTCGAAACCAATGAAAATTATTTTGTTTTACTGTGATTTTAATGACCACTTCCTGCCCTCCTTGACACATGCTGAAAGTGCGCTTAAAACTTTTTGCTCTTTGAATGTTTAGTCCTAAAAACTTTTCTGACATCATTATTGCTCACCTGAAAGTGTTCTAAATTGCCTAAAAGATTCAAGAAAGACTCCATGTAAGTATTACATCTTTTTTATTTTGATGATGTGATTGATTTGATTTGTATAAAATTTTATTCTGACCTAACCCTCATGCATGGTGCATTTTACCAAAATGTGAAATATGAAGTTGGGCCTATGTTAACATTTTTTCATTTGACAGTTTTCATTTTTTTTTTTGCTGTAGAATATGCGCAGTTCAATTAATAGAGTGCACTTCCAAACAATTTTAATTGCATTGGTACCATGAAAGTATAATGTAGGCCTATTTGAAGGGATTTTTATAGGGGGGTGTTTAATGCCCCATGTTTGACTTTCCTTAGCTGTATGGGTAAGTTTATGGGCTAAACATTTATATTTGATGAAAGAAAACTGTTTAAAGTTTGTATTTAGCTCCAGAAATGTTTATAATAATATGTGCAAAGAGCAAGCAGGAAAAGAGTGATTCATCGTTTGATTTTTTAACAATATCCTTGCATGAGGTTGGAGACACAGTGCAGGGCAGTAAGCACCTTTTTCTTTGTTGTGTTTCAGAATGGTACGTACCTACAAAAGAAGAATAAAGGAGCAAGGAAGAATTTTTTTGAAAAGTACCAGGAGATGGTTAATGCATACAATGCAGTAATGAAGAAAGAAATGTCTTTGAGCCAGGCTTCTAGGTACTATAGCGTCAACAAAAAATCACTACTGCTATGAGTTAAATGGGGAAATTCCAGTTAATGCCCATGCTGGCAGGAGCACCACCCTGTGTTCTCTACATGAGCAAGAACTTGCTGAGTGCTTGAAACTTTTGGCAAGCTGGGGTTGGGGATTTTCTACAGAAGAACTAAAAACAGTTGTTCAACAGTTCACCCTGTCTCTCAAGTTGGAGACTCCTTTTGTAAATGGTCGACCAGGCAAAGACTGGGTACATCTTTTCCTGAAGCGCAACCCTGACCTTGTGTTCAGAAAAACTGAGCACCTGAGTAATGCTAGAGCAAGAGCGGAGGATGCGGCTTGGTTCGACCTTTTAGAAAAAGTCCTGGATGAGCATGGCATCATACGTGACAGTGATCAGATTTTCAACGTTGATGAAACAGGGTTCATGACAGATGCCAGGCCACAGATGGTGTTAGCAGAAAAAGGCGCAAAAAGGTTAACACAAAGCATTGGAGGCTCAGGCAGAGAGCAAATCACGGTCAGCTGTGCTGTGTCTGCCAGCGGCAAGACTCTTCCTCCTTTCATAATCTACAATGGAAAGAACTTGTACATGGCATGGACTGAAGATGGACCAGACCATGCATGCTACACAACTAGCAACAAAGGATGGATGGAGTCACCATTTTTCCTAGAATGATTTCAGAAGATCTTTTTGAAACACATTGCAGATGTCAAAAACAAAACAAGACTTCTTGTGTTTGATGGCCATGTGTCACATCTATCCAAGGAACTGATTGAAACAGCAAAGAAGAACAATGTTGTCCTCCTCCGTCTGCCTTCACACCTCACTCATCTTCTGCAAGGCAGTGTTTCGACCAGTTAAGGCCATGTTGCAGTCATATCTGGTGAAACATGCCAGGACACATTCAGGACCAGTGGGGAAGAAAGACTTTCCAAGTATATTAAAGAAACTGTTTCAGGAATCATTCACGCCTGATGTTATCAAGTCAGGATTTGAGTCAACAGGACTATGCCCTTTCAATAGACAACGGGTTAATGTACCTAAAAGGCCCCAAGTGTCAATGGACAATGCTGGTGGCAGAAGTGCTCCACCACCAAACCCCACATGCTGTTTTGAACCATCCACTCTGACAGATGACTCACCCTTGTCCGCCGTTCAGCCGACTACGTCAACCTCCACATCAACTGAGTCCATTCAGCAGCCTCCACCAACACCAAATCATCAGCCTGAACATTCTACTTCAACGTCAAGTCATATTGATATCCCACTTGCATCGGAGGGTTCAACCCTAAAAGACTTTTTTATGAAACAATTTGAACCAATGATGAAAGGTCAAAATAGTGGGAGGTCTGCACGCATTCAAAGTTTCAGGTATGGGGAATGTCTGACTTCAGAAGAAAGTGCTCAAAGAACAATTGTAGCATCAAAGGGACAAGGAAAGGGAAAGGGCAAAAGGCAGACCTCTCCAAGCAGTACCAGGTCTCGCAGTCCTCTTGCAACATGTAATCAGGATGAAGAAAATGAAGAGCATTGTGGACGTTGTGGACAATCTGAGGGCTTCAACTGGGTCCAATGTGACATTTGCGACATATGGTACCACCTAAGTTGCGTCAATACATCCTACTCTTTGGAAGACTTAGAAGGACAGGAGTGGGTTTGCAAAATTTTGCACACAGTAGACGAGGTGCTTTTTACCCCATAGCCCCGGTGCTTATTACCCCACATTCATTTGTTGTGTCAAATTTCATTAAACTTTTTTGACAAGCTATATTTCCTAAAATTTTATGTTTTTGTTGTTTATTTCAGCCTGGTTTAAGGCAAAAGACATTATTTTGTCATAATAAACCATAAACGTATAAATTGGCATTGTATTTTTTTTATAGGAGAGAAAATTCACAACAGTAATCACAGAAAGCAATTAAAAGGTGGTGCTTAATGCCCTGCCTTACTTACCCTAGTTCATGGAAATGGGCGTGAAATAAAAAGTGTGCAGAGATGTATCATGGAGGAAGCGGTTTAACAAAAATGGAAATTCTTAAATGTGCGTTACTTCAGTTCATGTTTTGTCAAGTAACTTTAGTAGATGGGAAGTTCACGCGTGTCGCCAATGTTTGGCGGGCTACTATAGTTAAAGTTAAGTTAATTAATTTTAGTTATCCTACCACAAAAACAAACATATTATTTTCTTGGAACTGGTAGCCTTCATCATCAATTAAAGCAAGTTGCGACCGACTTTGATTAATGTTTAAGGAATTGGACATCTTTAACAAAACTTGAACTATGGTTCTAATGTTTAAAAAATATTTTGATCATAATGATTAGCTTTTAAGTTCTATTATTCAATAACTGTCTCATCTCTGGACTCTTGGTGTTATTTTGCTTTTACTTTTATTGTAAATAATTATTTTAGAGTACTTTCCCTTTACTAAAATTAAGCTGCAATCAAGCAGAAATGGGTTGCACAACCTCAAATAATCGGGATCTTTTATTGTCATCGAAAAATTATTTTTTAAAATAATAATAAAAATGACCAAATAATTTGAAAGCACATTTAATTAACCAATAACTGTGTGTAATTTAATTTGATTTAAATATGTAAAGAAAGGAGTTAATGTAGCTTATCCAAATGCCAAGGCCAAGGCAAATGAGAAAGTTGGCACAGAAAGTCTATGCCATAATACGGTATGGCGCATTTAGATTTAGCGCCAGCTGGGGTGACCAAAGATTTTTTTCGCCCCCCTCCCCACCAAAAAAAAATCAAACAACCTCAGCAGTTTGCCAAAAAGGGCAACTTTCTATATATAGCAAGTGCAGGGTTTCTTTCAGCAAAGAAAGACTAAGCCCCCCCCCCCCCGAGCAAAAATATGTCCTGCAATAAATTAACTGGCTCTGCTGGCACTGCCCCACCCCGAAAACTCTGAAGTGTCCAGAGCAAAAATATGTCCTGCAATAAATTAACTGGCTCTGCTGGCACTGCCCCACCCCGAAAACTCTGAAGGGTCCGGGGGGGGGGGGGGATTTCTGAAATAATCACTGCGCTAGTGCTCTACCAATAAGTTAAAAGTGACCAAAGCAAAGTTTTGTTCACTGAAGTTTTTTATCTGCGGGTTTAAACTAGTTTCGATAACCTATGAAGGGGTCGGCAATCTTTTCTGGGTAAGGAGCCTTTAAAAAAATTATGCTAAGGAAATAATTTAGGATCTGAATGCAAAAACGAATTGTTAAAATATAATCATCTTCATAGATGAGTAAAAGTAGAGCCACGTCTATTCCTTTGGATTGCAAATCGCTTGTCTAGTGTTAGCAACGGTCCGAGCTTCACTTATTTTGCTACTTAACTCACTGGGAATGCGATTTATCATGATTTTCATAAATAACAATAATAGGCCTGCAATTAATTCATTAATTTTTTAAAATAACATTAGTTCAACATCAATGACATCACATTTATATTAAAAATTAATAAAATAACGTTATTAACAAAAAAAAAATCTATGTGTAGGCCTACATAAACTCTGATATCCGCAAATTAAATAGATAAAAAGCAAAAGCTTCAAGATGTTACTCTCCATTCTTGACAGAAAGCTGAATTGTATTTTTTGTATGTATATAATGGTAGTCATATATCATATATTTCATATTCATATAGTTATACAGTTTGAGAGTTAAAATAATGTATGTCAATTTCAATTACGAAGATTTAGATTTTAGAAAGTTAGCGGTTGTGAATAAATAATCAAAGGCATATTTCTGCAGCGGACCTTGGATATTATTTATAAATATCCAATTGATCGTCTGTATGGTGATTTAAAACGATGATTATGTTTAATAGTTATATCAGCATCCAAAGTAGTCCACCTTGGCCCCAGGTCTTGGGTTAATATTTGTAGATACGCCCATAAGGTTAACAGAGCCAATCGCAATGAGTTGTGAATATCGGTCAGAGAATCTGATTGGCTAAGTTAACGAACAGCCCGGTATAACGAAATCTATAAACAAAGTGACTGCTGGGACCCGTGTGGTGTGGCTAAATATTTTCAACTCGATAACACTTTAGGTTTTGAAGTCTTGTAAGTTGAAATAAATGTGAAACCAGTGTGAGCGCGTGGTTAATCTGGGAGCAATAATATATATTGTAAAAGTTTGTGAATCTTTGGACCTCTTTTGTGTGTGTTTGTATGATGAAATAAGCCGACGATGGATTGGAAGTGATAGACCCTTCTATGAAGACTAGTGTAAAAAAATGGCATTAGATCATTAGTTTTGATAAATATATATGTGAATTTCAGGGACTAGAAGTTTATAAGCATGTAGGGACTATTAATTTAATTTTTTTAAAGAAGATGATATGTTATTAAAGTGTAATTAGGATAAAAGAATAGTTTTTGCGTAAATAATAAAGTCGGTCGCGTTGAATTGACCTATTAAACTTCTCCACCTGACCGAGTTTTTGATTCTTAATAGTTTTCGTTAATTTTAATAAAATTGGATTACAATGTTTATTTATAAAAAATATTACTAAATTCATTGTATCGCGTAATTTAAATGAAAGGTAAAAAAACTTTTGAGCTCCTATTAGGTGTGAAATAGTCCGATATGGCGCTTTAATATGACCGCTTTTCCGTAACCTTTTGTATTGTCAAGGCCGCACAATTTTCCGGGTCAAACCTGGTCACATGACTTTTTTTTTTAATTTTAAATTTAGGAACAAAATCATTTAAAAAAAAAAAAACTTAACTAAATTTTTAACAGCTCTGAGCTCAGCTGGAAAATTAAAACTATTATACGTATTAAATTTTCCGTAACCTTTTGTATTGTCAAGGCCGCACAATTTTCCGGGTCAAAACTTGTAAAATGACTTTTTTTTTTAATTTTAAATTTAGGAACAAAATCATTTAAAAAAAAAAAACTTAACTAAATTTTTAACAGCTCTGAGCTCAGCTGAAAAATTAAAACTATTATACGTATTAATATTAAATGTAACATAGAAATAGTATGTAACTCCTTTGTTACATTATGTCATGTATCGTTTTATTAAAAGCAATATATATATATAATATAGGCATTTAATATATTATAGACTATAAAATATAAGTAGTATACATTTTATTCACGGACGGAAAAGCGTTTACGTTTGAAAAAAAAATACATTGCGAATTCCTGGCAACTCCCACTAATAAAAGGGAGGTTTCTGATGGATGGAAGGACACACCTCTGTCTATAATTATAAGGGGGGGGGCATGTAAATTAACGTATGCGGCAATAAAGTTAATAGAGGCCTGCTTTTTTTAAACATTTACTTTAAATTACATTACATATTTATTCCATTTTCATTAATCTAAACCATGACTCTAGTTAAATAGCCAATTTATTTAATTAATAAAGTAGTCCTATGCCTTTAATTTAATAATTTAATAGTTTATTTTTCAAAAGAGTCTAAAAGTTATATTGTATTCTTGTTCGGATTTATATTAAATTATACTATAAATAGTAATAATCATAAATGACAATTAAATAATGTTGAAGTTTGCAGACTCCAAAGTTAATTTATTCCACATGACATTAAAATTATGAGATCTATACTCTTAAAATAAATGACTTAAAAGGGTCTAAAGACACTGAAGTGGGATAAAATTAAAGCTATTTTAATTTTGCAAAAACTTTGTATTATTTATTAATTTATAATTTTAAAAAAATTTGTAACTATTTTTTATTCTAATTTTGCCATGTCCAAGTTTTAAATATTGTTCATATCTATTTATTTATATATTTTATTTTCAATTTATCTCTATTAGGATTACTAGGCGCAGGACATTGAGCTGATGATTGTACATTTCAATAATCTGTTCTGTCAAGACTAAGGATTTTCTTTCCAAAAGGATTGATAACTGAAAAATCAGCATGGAGGACAAGGAAAGTCAAGTTTTTGAAAACAAATCTGAGAATCAGTCTGTTGTTATGAGTAGAATTAAAGACACTGAAGAAACAGAATCAAAAATAGTAAATGATTTGAATGAAAACGGAGACATTTCAGCTCACATGGGTCTTCATTCTAAAAATGATGTCTGCATGATGCCTGGACTCCCACCAATAGACATAAATGAATTGGCACAAGTGTTACGAGGCCCAAACATGCCTGCACAAAAAATTATGAAAGAAGTTGCTGATCAGATAATTAGGAAGAGTGAAGAAAGTGAAAGTGATGATGGTTCTGTCGGCAGTGGTCGAGGAGTAGTTGGAATGAAGGGAATCTTTGATTGCATTTTGGAAGTCTCCCTTATGCAGCAGGATTCAGATAACTCTGATGAAGAAGAAGATGAGGAAAATGAGAATATTACACGGGAAATACCATGCAGATTCTGTAATAAAATATTTGGTAATAGCATGTCATGGAAAACTCATGTCTTAGTTGTGCATCCGCAGCAAGACCCTTCTGTCCTAAACAAAAAATGGATTACAAACAACGAAGAGGACAAAAAAGAGAAAAACCACGCTGCACACAAGAGAGGCTCCAGAAGTTCATCAAAATCTGACTGTGATTCAAGATCTCGTCATCCTTCTAAGACGGAAAGTAAGCTTTTTGAGCAGCCAGAAGGAGAAGAGAATTCTCCTATCGGGAAGAGGCGGTCATCCCTCTCGAAGTTTCAACAGAAACCATCAAAAGCATCTGATGCAACACAAACAGACTTATCATCAAAGAAAGCAGACTCACAACCAGTTGATGAAGACATGTCAAGGAGAAATTCAGCTTTGGAAGGATTAGACTGTCCCAATGTTGAATGCAGAGGGCAGAGTCCAAAAGAAGTGGTTGAATTAAGTCAGATGGACAGTCCAAAGACTGAAATGAGAACTGAAATGGATTCTGTTTCATCCCCATCTTCCACCTCATCTGAACTTCTCTTGAAAATTAATTCTTCCCCAAGCTTAAGACCAAAAGATTCCAGTTCAAAGCGTAAACTATCGGATTCAGATTGCAGTAGTGATGCCACCAAAAAAAAATCAAAAGGAAGTTACAAATCTTCAAACAAGATGTCATCTAAGCACTGAAATAACTTTCTTTTTTTAAATTGACTAATTCAAATAAATATAGTCTTAATAAAATGTTATAAATATTAATTAAGTTAAACAAATTGTCTTGATAATCACAGCTTAGTAATTTAAACTAGTTTTCACCCTTAAATTTCTTTATTTAAAAAAAAAATAAATGCCTACCTTTATAAAAAAAAGTAGCATCAGCTTGCCCTTATTAACTTATAAATTACATCCCTTTAAAAAATAAAAATAAATAATAATCTTCTGTTTTGAAATATAAATTGCTCCTTTGATTAGTCAGTGTACTTTTTAAGGCCGAAGATCAATTTCATTTCTATTAATATTTGACAGATTTCTTAGGATAAATTTTTAATATAAAATATAATCTAGTACATTCAAGAAGTAAAATGTGAGAGAATATTATTACCCACTGATGCTTTGTGTGAAATGTATTTAAGGAAAGAAAGATTTTTTTTTAAAATTCTGAAATGTATGATGTTTTGTTAAATTTTGAATATATTATTATATAATATATAAATATATATATATATATATATATATCATGTTTTATTTTACTGTTAATGAAGATAATGAAGATGTATTTAATTTTAAATGTTATGTTTAGTTTTGCTTTGTGGTTCATTATGACTAATGAGTAGGTAAAGAAAAGAACATATATTTTAAATATAGCCACAGCTTAAGGAATAATGTTGCATTAAAAAAAAGTAATGATGATACCTGCATGCATATGAAAAAAGTGTCAAAATTTGCCAATTTTTTCATTTATGGAAGTTAATAAATATTTGGCTAGTAACATTTAAAAAAAAAATTTTTTTAAATAAATTTTTTAATTTTAATTTTTTTATTATTTTTGGCTAGTAAAATATGTATCATTCATCAGGAAGACAAAAATCTAAAATGCTAAATACTTTACAAACACTGTTTTTAAAATATTTGCTGTCACAATTTCTGAAATCCAGAATCTGTTAAGACATATCAGTATATCAGTAAAAATGATACTCATTAAATGCATGTATAAATGATTTCTAAAAATTTATAACAGATAACAGATGATGATTTCTCCCCCCACCCCACCCCCCTTTTCGTGTAAATTGAAATTTAATTTTCTTTAGAGCTACTTTAATATTATCTCCCTTTTCTTCTTCTCTTGAGAATGGACTAGATCTACTTGTAAAAGTCTAAAGCTCTCACAAAAAATAATTTAGTTAGGAAAATATCAACAGTGTTAAGTAAGTGTTTTTAATTGTTTTATTTTTCATTTCTGCTTTCTGTACACTTTCTGTATCAATTTTTATTCAAGCAATTATCCATTTAAAAAAAAAACAACCCCTTTTTTAGGACATTTTAAAAAACATTCTCAATGTATGGAATTTAAAAAAAATCAAAATCCTTTTTTTCATGTAAAGTTAATTAGGTGACACAAAATTTGATGCATCTGAACAATAGAAAAAAACATGCATGGACCTAAAATGGGTTAATCTTTAACAATTATAAATTCTTTGATAAGGCAGGAAAAAACATGAATGTTGGAAATGAGGACTTATTCATTACACCAAAGTGTATTCTTCAATAGAATTTATACATACATTTAAGTGCTCTCCACCCTGTGCATAGTTTATATCACAGAGGCAGTCACCGCTAGGGTAAATACATCTTGATACTTTTCATGCACATATAATTTTTAGTTTTAAAGCTAAATGTCCTGCAATCACCGAAAGAGCACACATGCCACTGGGTAGGCCTATATATAATTTTTATATATGTATTTTTTCCCCTCTTCTTATTCTAGAGCTTCTCAGACTTCTGACATGTAATTTACTTATTTGAAATTTTGTTGTTAACATTTAGGGCATTGCGTTAAAAGGTTGTCTTTTTTGTTTATCTCTCAGATACTGTTATTGTGGGCTGGTATTTTAATTTTATTACTGATGTAGTGTACCAAATGGCTTTTTCCCCTTCTTTTTCTATGCTTTTAAATGTGTCTGGATATCTATAAACCTGTTTTCTGTCAACAAAAAGGAACACATTTTGAATAATTGCAGTTGCAAATCATTTACGTTTTACTTTCAATGTGAAGCTAATTGCAAAATTCTCATCATCCTGATGAAGATGATCTTTTCAATATGCAACATTTAATAATGAGAGCTTTAGATAATGCTAAATGTGTTAATATGAGCAAATGTAACAAAGGTAATTAGCATGGTGCCTATTTTGTAAAGGCTCTTCTATAAATTTTTCTAGAAACACTTGCATGCAAGTAAAATAACAAAACCAAACAAAAATAAACAAGAAAAGACAAGCTGCTTATAATCTCCTACTTTTCATCAATTCAGATCAGCATCAGTTATGTTTAATTGATAATAATTTGATTTTCTTAAGTCAAAGTGAATCATATTGGTAAACAGTTTGCTGATTTTTGTAATTTAAAAAAAAAAAGTATTATTATCTTTAATCCAAAGATTAAATTGCTAAGGCTCATCCAAATTTTTAGCTCGTTGCATTTTGAAGTTGTAACAAAATTAAATAGGCAGAATAAATATTACAAAATTTTTTTTTTTTAAATCCACACTGGAGATGACACTAAAAAATTCGGCCTCAATTTATTAGGAGCAGTACATCAGCTCCTACATTTACCTGTTCACAAAAAAAAAAAAAACTCACTGTATAATAATCATTTAATGGTTGTAGTTTTTTTTTAACTCGAAAAATTTTTTTTTTTTAAAACCACACTGGAGATGACACTAAAAAATTCGGCATCAATTAATTAGGAGCAGTACATCAGCTCCTAAATTTACCTGTTCACAAAAAAAAAAAAAACTCACTGTATAATAATCATTTAATGGTTGTAGTTTTTTTTTAACTCGAAAGTGGGGAAAAAATACTTCAGTAAATGATGACATTTGTAAAGTAGTGAGAAATATAAATAAATTCAATTTTCACACGTGTAATAAGTGGTGTAAATATTAACTCTATTTATTAACGGGAGTAGTTAATGCTGTGTGCTTTTTTTTGTGTAAACTTGTATAATTTGAAATGACTAGCTTATCCTGAAACAGCTATAAATGTCATTCCCAATTCAGGTAGCTACTGTTTTAAAAATAATTTATATTTTCTTTAAAGAATGATACGTTTTCTTTTGTTTGTTTTTAAACCACACATTTGTGGTCTAGTGTAATTTCAATTATCTTTTCTTTTTTTATCGAAGCAGCAGGCAGCTTTGCTGTGCCAATAAAATAATAACTGATTAAGTTATTTTTTTTGTTCTGGCAGTGGTGGACTGCATGAACTAGTAGTGCAGACATTATTCTTCCCCTCCCTATGCACCATATTCTGAAACCTTTAAAAATGCAGAATATTGAAGAAAACAAAAATTTAAATACTTTCCTAATGCAGTGACTTAATTATTTTTGTGTATAATGAAACGGTTTTCCAGATTTTTCTGGATCCCCTATTGCTATATTTATATATATGTTACGTGTGGAGTAGATCTTGAAATGCGTTTATTCACATTTAATGCATATTTATTTTGTTAAATTTTTTTTTTTCAATCAAGTAAATACAATGCTATGCCTCGAGTTTTGTGATTGGCTGTCAAAACGCAGTTCTTCTTGAGCTCATTATGTTTACATTATTGCTTGACATGTATACATTTACTCACCTTTGTTTCACAAATCGTTCGTTCATGTGCTTGGCTCTGGAGGAGCCATGATATAAATGATTAATGAATAGCTAAGAACTTATTTATTAGTAGTCTTGTTCCATTATTTTTAAATTTTTTTTTTTATACACTTGTCTTTGAAAGTTAAACTGGCATGCTCAAAATTTTTAGTATAACATCATTGTTCATGTTTCCAATCTCACGATGCCGTATGTGATACAGTGTAACTAAACTCATCTAATTTATTGGAGAAATTTATTGTGATATATCATTTGACACAAATCAAAGAACAACCTATCTTAATTTTGAGTTAGAACTAAAATAGGACTGACAATGTACAGTTTAAAAAAAATATATATTTCACACATAATGTTTAAAGTCTAAGTTGATTACAATATAATGAGGAACATATTTATGATACAGGTAAGAGAAGAATCGTGACCTATGGATAAAGAGGGCAGTGGAGTCATTAAAAATGTTTCTGCCTTTGACTTCAGTTTATGACATCTTACAATGGTCATTTATTTTGAAGAAAGAAAAAAAAATGATCGACCCAGGCAAATATTTTAAAAGTGAAGAATACATTTGAACTTTTGCCTGGCCTGAAGATCACGTAGAGCTTGACCACAGTCCTGCCTCAAACATAGACCAAGAAATGGAAGATTTTAACATCTCTTTAGATTCTTGTCATCAGATGATGATTTTATTGAAACACAAAAATGTTAATGTGGGGGGGGGGGGGGGGGGGATTTGCAAGATTCGTAAGTCAATTTACAACTAAATAGTTCATCCCATCTCGTATCAATGCAAAAAAACAACAAAAAAACTGCACCTTTATTATAACTATGTTAAATCGATGGATTTCTTATGTTTGCCATGTTGCCTGTTCTCTGCCTATGTCCTGGGTATGTTGTATTTATCACTGTAATGAGTCAGTGTTTATATACAGTCACACATTCTAAATTCTCCATTTGCTTATGAAATACGAGGCTCATTCAGCACCCTCCTAAAATACTGATCACCCAATAATGATTGAATTGATGATTTTTAATTTAAAAAGATTGCTTATCTTCGTCTGTGCTCATTTAATAATGGTAAAAAAAAAAAAAAAATTGTTTCAGAGTTTGCTTTAATATGAAGAATTTTTTTTAAAAGTTGAATGTTAAACCAAAACCTGTGCCCCCACAAATCCTTCAAGCTCCTTAGCTTACCGCGTTGATGTAAATATTCCCAATTGATACCAGTACATATGAATTTTATATGTGAAATGTATGTATGCATTTTAAGTGTCATAATCTATAATGATTTGAGACCAAATTTATTGTGTTTTTCTTTTCATTTCACCATACATATTCAGGTATTTTTTTCCCTATGCCTATACAAAGTAGAATACTTGACAGCATGTCTAATTAGTGCATTCTAAAATATGTGGATCAAATGCCATGCAGAAGACATGGATTTTATGAAAGCTTTAAATGCCACTGCAAGCCCATTTGGGGTAAAGGGGGTGGAGACTAAAGTTGTGTTTCTGAAAAGTTTGATAAGCAAGAAGATAAAACGTTTAAAATAAATTACATCACGTTGATGAGGAAGACAGACACCTTCTCCTACGCACTTACCTTTCAAATTTTATCATAATAATTTTATAACCTGCTCGGTCATTTTATCTAGAAGGTAGACCCGCAACTGCATAGAATCAATTCTACAATTAGCACACACCTTAACTTGAACTTATCTGCGTTTATCCAAATATATATATATATATTATATATATATGTATTTTATATATATATATATATATATGTTTGAGCAGAGGGA